AAAAATGGGAACTTGAGCTTTACTGAGACCCCTCCCTGTCCTCCTGCCTTAGTTGCCCCCTTGCTCCCCACAAAAGAGATGAACCATGTGCCTTGGGGAGCCCACCAGGGAAGGAGGACTGGGGGCAGGGGGAGGGGTGGCAGGAACAGATGGCCAAGGGCCCCAACCCTTTAGTGGCAGGAGTCAGCTACAGCTGTTCAGTAGAACCTCGTGCAAATTTAATGGGGGTGAACAATTGGCCAGGGATTTGGTGGTGGGGACTGATGAGGGAGAACATGAGGCCAGGCCATTCACAGAGTGGACATGTGAATGCCAGCCTCTCTGGACTGGTGGATATCTGAGTGACCTGGCTATATAGGTCATCTACTTGATCCATTACTCTTGTCCCTGCACAATTTTATTAAATCCAAGCATCAGGTTCCTGGAATTGTCTGAAAGGTTTGAGATTGCTGGGGATAGTCCTATTACCAGCCTGTGGGCCTGTCCGAATCAGAGGAGAGTATGCTCTTGGTTTTCCTTTGTTGCTAACTGTGTGACATTTCAGAAAGTGGCAGGGAAGGCCGGGGGGTGGGGGCATGCATGGAGTTCAGCTCACACTGCTGAACTTGGGAAATCTGACTCTTGGACAAAGGAAACAAACACAGACCTGAATTCTAAAAGTCACAGTATCTTTGTCTTTCCCCTTTACTCTGTGTCAGCATCGCTGTAGTCTGTTTTCCAGTCAGAGATAGTGAGGATTTGACCTGGGCGTTCTGTCTGTACCTTCCGCAGGCCCCTCTGCAGGTCACAGAACAAGCACTTTATCACAGGTAGACTTGGTTCCTGCCTAAAAGCCTGTGCCCATTGGTTTGTCCTTCCCTGCTTTCCTTCTCTTTATTTTAGCCCAGGAATCAGGATTCATTAGTGAAGACCCACTTCTTTTTGTCTTGCTTGAGTGGGTGTGTAAACTCCCACATTTGGTTCCAAATTGCTTTCTGAATCATGGTAGCTATTTTGGGTCCTCACTGACCCCAGTGGGGGTGAATCATGGTACAAAAGTCCTATGGTTTCTTAAAGTAACAGGATATCATTAGAAACATGTTAGACATAGTCCCAGATTTCCCAGGAGTTTGAGGCTCTGCTGTTTCTCCTTCCCTAGAAAAGTTCAGGCTACTTCCCTGCCCTAATCTATACTTCCTTGTTCCCTCAACCCTGTTCCCGGTTGCCCCAGATTTCGAGCCTTTACTGATCACCATAATGATGGAAAAAATCCTAGAGATCAGTAATGTGTACAAGATGGACTTGTGGTCTCTATGATCCCCTCCCCACTCTCATTTGTCCACCTGGCTGACACTAATTGTCCTGAAAAACTATTGCCGAGGTTGCCTCACCAAGGCCTCTTCTCTGTTTTCCTCGAGATTACTGGGTCTGCCTCATACAATACACACCCGTTGTGTTTTACACATTTATTGTGAATGTCTCCCCACCAAACTGTGAGTCCTCTCACAGAAGGACTGCATTCATCTCTTTGACCCCACAGCCCTACCTAGCAGGGTGTCTGGCACAGTAGATGCTCACTCTGTAAGTGTTGTTACACTGACTCAAGCAACTAGGGAATGACCTCATTCCAGCCCCAGAGAACTTGCCTCAAAAAACAAGTAAAAATTTATGTAAGAGGACTCAGTCTTAAGGATGAGATTTCATACCCTTCTTGCCAGTTAATCTCACAAGATGAAGGGAAGAGAGAGCAGGTAGACATTTTTCCAGAGAGGAGCAATCTGTGGTTAAACTGCAAGCACAGGTCAGAGCTGAGATCCATCAGCATCTTTGTTTTAAGGGTTCCTGGGTTAGCCTCCTGCTGAGTGCATTCCTTTTATCCTCACAATCGAAAGATTCATTCTTTCCACAAGCATTAACCATTGATCAAGCACACCTTATGTGCCAGGCCTGTTCTTTGACCAGGGAGTACCAGGATGAGAGACACAGCCCCTGCCCTCACAAGATACAACCAATTACAAATACAGGATGAGTATGCACCAAGTTCTGTGGGAGGGCTTGGTGGGGAATACCTAACCCAGAGGGCACACAGCACTGTTATCACTCATGGGTGTTACATACAAGTCCTATGATCCTTTGTTGTTGTTGTTGTTATGTACCGTCAAGTCAGATCCGACTCATAGTGACCCCTCCTTGGGTTTCCGAGGCAGTATCACTACAGAAGTAGATTGCCCCATCTATGATCCTTATGAGACACCAAAGACCTCTGCCACGTTTGAGTGTCCCACACTAGGAAGAGGATATGTGAGTGAAGGCATTGAAGGAGTTATTAATTACTACAGGAGAAATACAATTCAACAGAGTGTTTGGGAGCGTATTTTTTAAAAAAGTCTTATATATCACTTTGGCCTCATGGCTTTGTAATGTAGAGATCATTTAAAATTTTAGTTATATTTGACTTCATATTATGAGGGACTTTATGTGCTGAAAGGAGCTCTGGTGGCATAGTAGATAAGGCATTTGGCTGCTAATCAAAAGACCAGCAGTTCAAACCCACCAGCTGCTCTGCAGAAGGAAGATGGGCCAATCTACTTCTGTAAAGATTTACAGCCTCGGAAACCCAATGGGGGCCGCTTTAAGTTGGAATTCACTTGATGGCAGTTAGTTTGGTGTGGTTTTTGGTTTTATGTGCTGAGGACCTCTGGTGGTGTAGTGGTTAAAGCATTTATTTGGCTGCTAACCAAAAGGTAGGAGCTCTGGTAGCATAGTGGCTAAAGCACTTGACTGCAAACCAGAAGGCTGGTGGTTCAAACCCACCAGCCACTCCTTGGAAGGAAGGTTGGGCAATCCTACTTACATAGTGATACTGCCTTGGAAACCCAAGGAGGGGTCGCTATGAGTCGGGGCCGACTTGACGGCACATAACAACAACAACAACAACAACCAAAAGGTTGGTGGGTCAAACCCATTATCCACTCTGTGGGAGAAAGATGAGACAGTCTGCTTCCATAAAGATTTATAGCCTTGGAAACCCCATGGGGCAGTTCTACTATGTCCTATAAAGTCACTATGAGTCAGAATTAACTTGATGTCAGTGAGTTTGGTTTGGTTTTATGTGCTGAGAGTAATAGACAATGACATGTGGATTCTTTATGGCTTCAGGGTTTATTCTTGAGAAATGTCTAGGGTCTACTGTAGGCCAGTGTGCAGTTTAGGATGTGGGAGAAATGAGTCCATACAAAGAAATGAGTAGGGATCAAATCATGGTAGGGCTTTGCTTAGGGATTTGGGCTAAGACCTTGAGAAGGTGACAGACATTGAAAATTCTTAAAGCAGAAAAGCAACATATACCAAGTTGTGGTTTACATAGAAGACAAATTCTCAGAGAGTGGAGAATTGTGCCCATTATAAAGCACATACTGTGCACAAGGGTCTACAGCTGTGGTAGCATAGTGGCTAAGTCACTTGCCTGCTAACCAGACGGCTGGCGGTTCAAACCCACCAGCCACTCCTCGGAAGGAAGGTTGGGCAATCCTACTTCCGTAGTGATACTGCCTCGAAAACCCAAGGAGGGGTCGCTATGAGTCAGGGCCGACTCGACGGCACATAACAACAACAACATGCACAAGGCACTATGTTCAGCACCCTGGGTTAGTGTTTACCTTGTAAGCACTCTGGAGTCACCAACTGTTTTCAGCAGAGGGGTGGCATTAAGAGTTTTTTATATTCCTCTCCAGAAGACCTGGATCTAGGAGTCACTAAAATGTCCCTGGGTGGCGCAAACCATTTGCACTCAACTGCTAACATAAAGGTTGGCAGTTTGAACCCACCCAGTGGCACCTTGGGAGAAAGGCCAGTGATCTGCTTCCACAAAGATTACAGCCAAGAAGACCTTATGGAGCACTTCTCTTCTATAACACATAGGGTCGCCATGAGTTGGGAGGGCTAAGTCTATACCAACTAACAACAACAAGATGGCCTAGCCAGGCTGTCCTGTGGGACTTCTAGATGAACTCGAGGTTGTGATATTTCTTGTTCATAGTTACAGTGCATGGAGTCAGTGGGCCAGTTAACTGAAGCTATATCCTGTACAGTTGCTGGACCAAAACTAAGATAATAGTAAGAGCCTGGGTTACATATCTAGTAAGTGGAGAGAGCCAAAGTGTGACGCCAAGAGGGTAGGAACTGAGTGGAACCTTGAGGTTTGGGTGCTGGAGACAGCTTTCTATGTAAAGCTGCTGGCATGGATGTGCCAGGGCCAATTAAGGGAGCAGATGAGGTGCAGATAAGAGCTGTTCTGACGTCTTTCTGCTCCCTACCATTGGCATCCAGATAATCAACAAATTTTGTCTCTCCACTGCCTTTGCCTTCATTCTGGTTTTCATTTCTCACCTGGACCGTTGCAGTGGTCTCCGGTTCCTGGTCTATCCCATTACCCTTCAAGAGCCAGATTTAATGTTCTGTAACAAGATCTGATCACATATTCTGGTTGTGTGAAAAGCTTTAAAAGAGTGAAACCTGTGAAAGCTGGAACCTGTGCAAAGCAGAAACCTATCAGAGAAGGAAAACTCAAGTATTTTCCACTAATAGTGATAGAAAAGTGGTAAGACTGCACCCTATTGAAGGCAGAGAACTTGCAAGACCCAGTAGAAGAAGGCAGTCTTGTTGAGTTCCAGCTTTTGCAAGTTTCACTATAGCTCTTCATCCCCTGTAGAAAGCCAAGGAAGAAAATAGTACCTTGTTACTGTTTTGTTTTGCATTGATTTAATTACTAAAAAGAGTGACAGGTTTTCTCCTTGTTGCATATTAAGTTGACTTTGGTATGCACCATATAGTAAGTACTTGAAAAGATCAAGTGAACCTTTTATAAAAGAATTGGTCTAAAAAAGGTGTAGGCTATGGGCCTGCTTGAAGGCAGGAGAACAGACTCACTGGCCCCTGTGAGCTGCTTTTCTTTCTTGGGAGGCCAGAGCTCTGTGAATTTTTAAAGCTGCCTTTCCCTTCCTTGACTTGGATGGTCTAAGATACTTAACCAACGGGCAGCCTTCCATTGAGCGATTTCCCATCAGCTTTAAAACCTACTTCTCAGGAAACTACTTTCACCACGTTGTGCTGGGAATTTATTGCAATGGCCGCTATGGCTCCCTGGGCATGAGCCGAAGGGCTGAGTTGATGGACAAGCCACTGACCTTTCGGACTCTGAGTGACCTCATCTTTGACTTTGAAGACTCCTACAAGAAATACCTGCACACAGTCAAGAAGGTCAAGATTGGGCTGTACGTCCCCCATGAGCCTCATAGCTTCCAGCCCATTGAGTGGAAGCAGCTAGTCCTCAATGTCTCAAAGATGTTGAGGGCTGACATAAGGAAGGAGCTGGAGAAGTACGCCAGGGACATGAGAATGAAGGTAGGTGCGTGGAACACATGGTGTAGTGGTTAAGCACTTAGCTGCTAACCAAAAGTTTGGCAATTCAGCAGCTCCATGGGAGAAAGACCTAATGATCTGCCTCCATAAAGATTGAAGCCAAGAAAACCCTCTGGGGAAGTTCTAGTCTGTCCTTTAGGGTCACTAAGTGACAACTACAATAGCAGGGAAGATAAATGAGTGATGCAAAAGAGCTCCATCCCCATTCATTCTCTCACTCTTTCTCTACTTCTCCTTCCCTCCCTCCCTTTTGCTACATGCCCCATGTATCTGGGGTGCTCAAAAGTTCCTTGACATTATCTTGCTCACTGGCCACCCTAATGAAGCAAAACAGATAAGTCACTTACTGTTTAATATGGACAAGTAAAGTCCCCTTTTTACATGTTGTTGTTAGGTGCCATCAAGTCAGTTCTGGCTCATACGACAGCATGAAACACCGTGCCATCTTCACAGTCATTGCTATGTTTTAAAAATAAGAGCAAAGAACCATTTTAGATATTATAGTTAAGGCAATATCTTGAAATCAAATCTAAAATCTTCATCATTTTATAATGAAGCTCTAGTTTTGTTGTTTTGGCCTTCCAGTAGTGTGACCAGCCATCCCAGTTTTCTGAGACTAGAAGGGTTTCCCAGGATATGAGCTTCTCATTACTAAAACTAGGAGAGTCCCAGGCAAACCAAGATGAATTGGCTACCTTTCTTTATAGGATATAGAGTCACATGCTATCTCTGTTTTGCTTTGTAAGTTGCAAAGCCCTTTGGTGTAAAGTTCTGATCTCATGTCACAGTAACAAAAAGAAGACCATTCCCTATGCTGGCCTTTTAAAGTCTATACTCATAAATCCTTCTCTCTACCATTATCATTTCCAAGGTGACATGATGCTCCCTTATCCTTGTCCCTCCAGGGCTATGGAGTCACTGGAAGAAGACTTGTGTATACACTGAGGAGAAAGGGATTATGTGGACTTCAGGCATGGTTATGTGTAACACCTGAGGACTTGCCATTGTCCCTCTGTGGGACCTTGAGTAGGGATTATTGATAAAAGCACTCTGTACATGTGCATGGACGGGAGAGTTGGAGGAAGAAGAAGATGGTTTCTGGGGAGGTGTAAATGGGACATTGCCTTCAAGAGGAGAGCAGCTTGGCAAGCATCCAGACACAGCTCCAGGAGCTTGATGCTTTGGGCTCTGTCCCTCTCTCTGCCCTGGAAAAGGAGGAGGGGGCACATGTGGTCATTCATACTACCCTCTGGGACGTGGCCTCCTTGCTTCTTGCCAGTGCAGAGTGAGAGAGCAGCATCTCTGTCTCAGACCTCATCCTTTGGAAGATTTCCTGCTCAGTGGCTTCTAAACTATGGTATCTTGAAAGAGCTAGGGGCTGTGTGATAGGAAGACATGAGGGTGGGGTCCTTCAGGAACTAGTATGGTGATGCCTCCTATCTCCTTCAGATTCTGAAACCTGCAAGTGCCCAGTCTCCTACCCAAGTGAGAAGCCGGGGAAAATCCCTGTCCCCCCGCAGGAGACAGGCAAGCCCCCCAAGACGGCTCGGCAGACGAGACAAATCGTGAGTAGTATTTTCTTCTCCCAAGCTCCACGCCATACTCACACTCTCTTTGGGATGTCCTTACCCATGGGGACAAAGCTAGGTTCTAGGCTTGGCATTTGAATCAGACTGATCTCCAAGAGGACCGTTCATCACTCGGGGGACATCTCATGTGGAAAAGGATCCACCATGCATGTCACTCCCATAGTTCCTACTCTGTGGACTGTCTGTTGTACACACAAATGGAGGGAGAAATTAGACAGCATGAGTGAAAGAATAGCTTGAAACCAGGCAGCATGGAAGGAGTACTGGACCTAGAAGTAGGAAACTTGTGTTCTGGAACCAGCGCAGCCACTTATGAGATATGTGAGCTTGGGCAAGTCATGTAATCTTTCTGGGCTTAAGTTTTCTGACCCATAAAATGGAGTGGGTGGAATTTGTGAATTTTCCTAAAATTTTATTGTCTTCTGAGCCCAGCAGAAAGTGTGATCACCATCAGTAGATGGTAGCATCAGAAATAGCCACAGTCACATCCTCTCCCTTGGCCAACTCTGCCCTCCCCTATTTTAGCCCTGAGGGTGGTAAGTCCACACCTAATTCTGGGGTCAAATTGAACCGCTTAAGAAGTGACAGATTAGAGACTCTGAGGCTTCCCAAAGTAGCCAGCAATAATCCATTGGCAAATATCTGAGCTATAAAGAGACTGGAAAAATAATACTTTAATTAATAATAGCGTTCTGTGTCATATGAGCCTATCACTATGCCAGGCACCACTTGATGCAGTGCACAGAGGGCTAGGTTGAGCCCCAGCTCTACTGCATATTAGCCATGAAGCCTGGGCATCGTTCATCCTTTGGGAGCCTTCATTTTCTGCTCTGTCAGTGAGGCTAAGAACACTTCCCCTGCCTGTCTCACAAGGTTGTTGTCAGGATCAAATGTAATGAGAGTGCTTTATTAATGGTGAATGACTTTTTCACAGATATATTATTCTTTTCACATCAGTCTTGCAGGGTAAACAGGTAGAGTTTTATACATCTTTTTCAGATGAAGAAACCAGAACATAAAAAGTTCATCTTATACTAAGTCCCTTAACTGGTTAGTGATGGAACTGGGGCGAGAACTCAAAAGTCCCCTGACCAGAGGGAGATGGCAGTAGGAGCTTCTGTTTTTGGACAAGCAGAACAGAACTGAGCATTTTCAGTTCCAAGGAAGGCCCCCTGCTTTTCCTCATTCCACTCCCCATGGCCATTTCCAAGGTTCAGCCTTGATAGCCAGAAGGGCCTTGGCTAAAATGACTAGTGTTTAGGATTTGAAAAGGGAGAAATAACAAAATAGGAACATTGGATATAAGAGAAGCTGGGGCTTAAGATGGTTTCAGCACAGATTTGTCCTTTTAGGCAGCAGGAAGGCTTCAGACCTTTCTTGTGTGGGCTTCTAACCCTCAGCCTATGTTGACCACCACCCTTGACCCCTGACCCTGGCCCAGCCCTATCTCTCTTCCTTTCAGATTCGAACATCCATTAATTGCTATCACTGAACACGTTGACAGTTGCCTCAGAAGACTGTGAACCCTTCTCAGTGGTCAGTTAGCATAGAGTGAGTGACCCAGAAGGAGGAATCTGGCCACTTATAAAGGAGGGGAGGAGCATACTTGAATCTCATTTGTTACCCTTGCTGCCCGGATGGGACTGAGCCATTCCCTTTGGAGCATTCCATCTCCAGCAGATGTTGAGTGTGCTACAATGCCAGGCTCTTCCCGTAGACTCTGGAGCATGTGAAAGCCTAACTGTTCAGTGATGGAACTGGGGCTAGGGCAAAGGGTGCATGGGCAGAATGAGAGCTGTTGGTTTTTAAGGTGATTCCTGTTTAGATCCATTTTACTCAAGTCCATAGGAACTACCAAGTCAGAGGCATGTTAAGTTTTTTTTTTTGTTTTTTGTTTTTAAATTGTGTTTTGGGTGCAAATTTACAAAGCAGATTTGTTTTACATTCAACAGTTCATGGACGTTTGATTTCATGGCTCTGTCTTACCATCTCCAACCATAAAAAACTCTCCTATATTCCTCTGCCTGTGACTACCCCCTTCCCGGGCCCCTCTTATCTATGCATTCCTGGCTGTCCAGCTTTCCCTCAGTGTGAATGCTGCCCCTCTGATGTCTCATGGCTGGTTTGACGGAATGTTAAATTTTTAACCAGAGAAGTTAACTGTGATTGCCTGGTGATGATAAAGTCAATAAGTTCTTAGAAACTGGCTGTGGGAACAAACATCAGGATGATAAGCTAGGTAGTGGTGGTTGTTTTTGTTGTTGCTGTTGTTTGAGAAGAAGGGAGGACGCACTTGAGTTTGAATTGGGACTGTGGAATTTAAGGAGGAGCATTCTAGAAGCTGCTGAAAGAACCAGAACAGGAGATGAGAAAGGCATAAGCTCGATGAGATCCAGGGTGTGACGGGGCACACCTGCATCTGTAGAAGACAGCTGTGACATGGAAGAGAAGCAGAGGAAGCTGTGGCATTTAGTGACTTTGGGGGATGCAGTGTTGAAAAGGCTGAGGGGCTAGAAGCAGACAGTGAGAGGGAGCGTGAACAGGAAGTAAGAGAGCAGGCAAGGATTATTTTATCAAAAATGAGCACGGAGCAGAGACTCAGGAAACCCAGCACTATTTCTAATCCCAATACTGCCATAAGCTATCTTGGGACTTTGGGCAAACCACTTACTTCTCTGTGTCCCAGTTTTCTCACCTGCACAAGGGAGGGAGATCAGAGAAGGTATAGAATTCTTTTGGGGATTTCCTCTCGAATAAGAGAGACAGGGTGCCTTTGGAGGCAAAGCAGAAAGAACCAGGATGAAGAAATTAAAGTTTAACAACAGAAAGGTAAATTAATAGAGCAAAATGTTTGAGGAGTTTAATGAGCTTAAAAGCTACATGCCTAGCTTAGAGAGGGAACAAGAGTAAAGGGGAAAAAGAAAAAAAAAGAGGGGAGACTAGGAAGTGTTTGGAGTAGATGAGGAGGTGGAAGTTGATAGACTGTACATGAAAGGGCTTCTATTCTGCCAGTTGGAATAGACTCAACAGCAATTGGTTTCTGTTTTTTATGCCAGTGAAGGAGGCTGAGTTAACTGGTTAAGAATGAGGAGGAGAGGGCAGAATTATTAGTACACGGTGAAGAAAAGGCTGCACACAGAATAAGGGCCCAGCTGGAGATGGATGTGCATTTCTAACAAGTTTGCAGGTGATGCTGATCACACTTAGAGACTGCTGACTGCTAACCAGAAGGCTGGAGGTTCAAACCCACCAGCCACTCCTCAGAAGGAAGCTTGGGCAATCTACTTCCATAGTGATACCGCCTCAGAAACCCAAGGAGGGGTCGCTATGAGTCGGGTCTGACTCGACGGCACATAACAACAACGACTGATTCCATCAGCACATTTCCAGCTGTGTCTGATTAATCAAGAATTGTAGCATCAAGGTTGTTGTTGTTGTTGTTTGCCGTCGAGTCGGCTCCGACTCATAGCGATCCTCCTTGGGTTTCTGAGACAGTATCACTACGGAAGTAGGATTGCCCAACCTTCCTTCCGAGGAGTGGCTCGTGGGTTTGAACTGCCAGCCTTCTGGTGAGCAGTCAAGTGCCTTAGGCACTATGTCACCAGAGCTCCCAGCATCAAGGTAGGGTTGACCAAAGAAAGTAACAGGATGTCAGGGTGAAAGTATGGAGTCTGCTGCGGGAAACAGAGGAGACCATTAGGCGTGATGACTCAAGGTTTCAGCATTGACCTAATGGGCCTCCAGATAATGAAGTTGCTGAGGTGAATTTGGAAGGTCTGGCCTTACCTGGCTTTCATGCTCAGACCCCACTGAAGTCAGTCAGGGAGGTCCCATTTTGTCATCCTCTGTGGAGTCAGACAGAGAAGCCCACTCCTCAGTCACTCCTAGGCCATGCTCCATACCCTAATCTCTGGCTACTTTGTCATTCAGCCAAGGCAACCGACTGCACCTGCACCTGCAGAAGACAGCTGTTAGACTGCTGCAGTTGTGAGTGAAAAGTACCTTTTAGTGTCGGGGCCTCACTCACCTTCTCCCCTCCTGCCCTTCTGAGGTCAGACTGCCCACCTGAAGCTTTGGAATGGGCCTGGGAGTGGGGAGAAAGACCAGGGAAGAGGGAGTGGTCCCAGAGGGGGCAGGAAGGAAGGCCTGCTGGGAGATAAAGATTCTCTTTCATCATCCTCCCTCCATGCCTAGAGGAAATTGCTCCCCAGCCCCAACGGAGAGGCCTCAGGAGCACAGAAGGGATTACTCATGGTTCAGTGAAAACAAGCTTTTCAGAAATGGTCAGGAGTGGCTGCAGCCAGCCCCTGAATCTCCCAGGCCCATGACCTGCCCTGAAGCCCTCTCTCCTGGTGGAGAGAACTGATTCCTAGGAGTCCTCCCTCATAAACTCCTCTCAATAGGTCACAAAAGTTTGAGGGTTTTCTTTTGTTTTTACAACTAGGGCAAGGTGGCCTTGAACCAGTTTGAACATCTAAACGCTAAGTGGGAAGAGGAAGCCCAAGTAGCTTTTGGGTTCATGTGGACAGTTTCATAGGAGCAAATCCATGATATTTTTGGTAGCAGAGCCCTTCCCTTGCCATTTCTCTTCTCCTTTCCCAGTGCTTGGAGGATGCATAGGGAATCAAGAGGGCAACTATCTTGGCTGAAGTTTTAAAATGTATTGAGGTAGTATGAGGAAGGAAGAGTCTCTTTCCAGTTCCTCCTAAACCCTGACTTCTGAGTTATGGGGCTGGGGAAGAGATGGCACGGGCTACAATGTAGGAGGAGAGGGAACAGAAATGCAGAAGATGAGAGCAAAATAAAGGTTTTGAGAGCTGGGGACCCCAAGAAGAACTAGAGCACCAAACACCTCCCTCCCTCTCCAGATGCCTGTTTCTGCCATTGCTACAGACTAGAACCCAGGACACCCTGGTCCCTAGAGGATGCATGGAGAAAAGCAGCTTCTCAGCTTCTACCCATGGCTTCCAGCAAGC